CCGCTGTTGAAACTGATCAGTTTCAGCAGCGGCTGAATCTGGACGCCAGTTCCGACTTACATACAGATTCAACTTAAGAACAAACCTACAGTCCCTATCTTGTACATAACTCGGGGACTGCCTGTATAGAGTACTTCCATACTCAAGCAAATCATTGTCCTAATAGTCTTACCTTTTTGGAAGAGCTACTTCTCGTTATATGTGAAATTTACTAAACACAAAAAGTGATAAGTTGTAATCAATTGGCTCCCCTCATCCCGAAAGCAGACATTTATCCCAATGCACCTCCATCTTCAGTTCTAACATACTAATAATTTACTACCAAACCCCATGAAACAGAAGCCACCAGGTGTGCCAAAAGGGATTGTGGTTTTGTGATGTAGAGAAATATCCACTGAGATCTACATTTGGATATAGTTTTATAAAGTTTGCAGAAACAACCATTTATTTCACTGACACTTTCTGAAATCCTTATCCTATTAGGATTTTACAATATAAAGTTACATAATTTTTGTATTCCAGCTCTTAAAAAGAGTTTGAAGTAGGAGAAGAACACAGAATTATTCAGCTTTATGATCTTTCACTCTGAGAAGATATCTGCATTTTAGTTATGACTAGGGGGCTTCTTCCTGCTTCCTACGCTTGCCTCCCCCCTACTCTCTACACTCGCCAACCGCAAGCTTGATGACATCATTCTGTTGCACGGCCGGAAAACCTTTTTAAATCTAGAGATAAGAGACAATAGCTTTATACTGTGGATTATTTATAAATAGTAACTTGTAGGTACCTGTTGGAATATGAACTATCCGTACAGCACTGTCAGTGGTATTTACATGCTGGCCCCCAGCTCCACTTGCTCGTTTAGTTTCAATTTGCAAATCTTTAGGATTAATTATCAGATTGATCTGTGATAGGGAAGACAGAACAAACAAAAGCAAACCTCACACACCTCTTGTTCTTTTCTAGACCAATGACAATTATTTTAATATAAATACACAGAACTTTTTTAAACAATATATTTCAG